CCTGTGGGGGGGGGGGGGGGGGCGGGGGAAGGGGGGGGGGATATGGCTGAGCTGGGGTGGGGGCAGCATGTGTCCGCACTACGCGAGCCCCCTGCAGCTGGCCCGGGAGCCGGGGGCTGGAGGGGAGGCGACCGCAGCGGTTCTGGAGAGCTGGTCTCCAGGGCCATCTCTTTTAGCCCCATCCCCCGCGGGACAGCGCCCTACCCTTCGCTGGCTGAGGATCAGGCTGAATTCAGAGACGCCGGGGAGCTAGGCAGGTCATGGGGGATTCAGAGGCTGACCGTGCCCCCCACGTAGGCATTGAACCGCGAGGGGAACACCCCTGCACACTCCATCCTGCCAGGGGGAGTCAGGCCCTGGCCTCAGGAAGCCAGAATGTGGAGCTAGAGCAATATCAAGGTCTGAGATTCAGCGGCATCCCCTCCAACAGCTTCTGGGGGCAGGGCACAATTCTTGTCTCTGAGGAGGTTGCTTTTCTCAGCTGATCCACTTGGTGCTTTGTCTTCATTTACAGCTAGGTTAGGCTTAACCCCCTGTCCTAAAACAGAGCTGTGGAGACCTCCCCCCCCCCTCCGAAAGTAGGACAATTGGGAGATCAAACAGGTGTGTTTGTGAAGTCAATGCTAAGGGATCAGAAAGGTCAGGAGGGCAGCTCTTGGTGAAGAGCAGAGCTTTAGAGGTTTGACCATAGCAGATCCAGTAAACCTGAGACACCAACCCCCCATCAGGCACAGAACCCCCTGGTCTATTAGCCCTCAGAATCCCTACTCAGCTAGCCTAATAAATACAGGAGTATCAAAATAAGAAAGTTCCCTCAGCTCATGAGAGTGACCCAGGGCTTGGAATAAACACCTAGCCCCAATCCCAATCCCGCTCACACCACCTTCAGCATTGTCAGAACACTTTACGTTTATTTAGAGCCTTTCACTCCAAAGGATCCCACAGTCTTTGCAGGCTGCCTCCCCACCAGTGCTGGGAGGTGCTGCCTTAACTGCAGGTACAGTGTTGGGAGTAATACCCACATTATGGTTAAGATGAGAGGTCATGCCTCAAACTGGGAGACTTCATGAGAAATCTAAGGGAAGATGACCTTTTCAATGACATGTGGAGTGAGGCTCAGCTCCTAGCGGCCCCGGAGGAGCAGGCTGCCAACTGTTCAGCCATAATCCCTAAATTATTTTATAAGATTCACAGGAATCACTTCCCCCTCTCCTGAAATGCAGCAGCTGTTCAACAGCACACACTAGCACTACACAGCATTTTGGGACAGGAAGTGAAGGGGAATCCAGTGCCCAAATGTAACTGCAGGAGAATTCAGGGAGGTGGAATTTGGTCAGGCTAATCAGAAGTGCCATGGGACCTCTAATGATCACAGGTGGTTAGAATCGTGGTTCTGCTCAGCTGAAAGATGCTTCTAAGCATGGGGTGGGCAATAATTTTTGATGGGGGCCCAACTCCAATATTTTAGTAAGTGGCCAAGGGCTGTACTTTTCTAGGTGGGGTCTGGGATGGAGGGTGGTTGAGGAAGGGAGCTTGGAGTAGGAGACTGAGGTGCAGGAGAAGGTGTGGGTTCTGAGAGGGAGTTTGGGTGAAGGAGGGGGTTGTGGCATGGGGCAGGGAATTGGGATGCAGGGTCTGGGAGGGGATATAGATATAGGAAAGGATTCTGGCCTGGGGGAAAGGTGTAGGAGGGGGTGCAGGGTCTGGAAAGTAGTTGTGACCTGAGGGACCCTGGGGGAAAGGTGTAGGAGGGGGTGCAAGGTCTGGAAAGTATTTGTGACCCGAGGGAGGAGTTTGTTCAAAGGGTTTGGGTGGTGACCCAGGCAAGGGAGGGGCTGGGGTGCCATAGGCAGTCTTTGGCCAGGAGCCGTTTACCTAGGTGGCTCACAGAGAGCAGCCTGTGACCCGAGGGAGGAGTTTGTTCAAAGGGTTTGGGTGGTGACCCAGGCAAGGGAGGGGCTGGGGTGCCATAGGCAGTCTTTGGCCAGGAGCCGTTTACCTAGGTGGCTCACAGAGAGCAGCCTAGTGGGACCTTTAGGCAGGCTCCCTGCCTGCTGCAGCCCAAGGCCACTCAAAGCAGCTGGCTGCTCCATATGTTTCTCTGCGCTATGCATGGAGGAGGGGAAGGAGAGGCTTTTTGTGCTACCCTACCCCCAGCATAATCTCTCAGCTCCCATTGGTCAGAATTGGCCAAATGGGAGCTGAGAGATTGTGCTGGGGGCAGGGCAGTCCATGAAACCTCCCCCCTCCCACCACAGTGCAGAGAGGCATATGGAGCAGCCAGTTGCTTTGAGTGGCCTTGGGCTGCTCCTTACCTGAGGGCCCAGGTGGGGTGAGCTGCATTCAAAGGCTTGGTAGGATGGATCCAGCCTGCGGGCCGCATCTTGCCAGCTCTTGTTCTAGCAGCATCATACCCCTAAGACAACAGGACAGTCCAGTCCTTCTATCAGTGCTACTTCCTGAAAAGAGTTTGCTTCCCAAATCCTAGGAAATCTCCCATCCATATTAATTCAGCCCAATACTGCAAAGCTTGCAAGCCATCCTTATGGTAGAACAGCCCGTCCTTCTCATCCACACACTTGGGTAGAGTCCTTCTTTATGCTCGTTGTTCTCCTAGGAAAATTGACTGACCCTTCTGATCTTATTGTATTTCTGTCCCTATGGTGGCACTCTACAATTGCCTGCCCACAACAGTCCTAACATGCCTCAGAAAGCTGTGAAAGAACAAGGCCTTTTTGAGAAATAGTAAAATGCTGCTCCAGGAGAACAAGCAGCGGATGGAAAATAAATGGACTCAGAAACATTGGGACCACCAGTGGCTGTGCAGGAAGGCAGGAGAAACAGGAAAAATGAACAGCAATCAGTTAAGAAAGGGAACATTTGCTTTTGCTTCTTCAAGCTTTAACCTCATGTCTAAGGGCCTCTATCCCACTCCTACTTCCTGCAAACGTTACTCCTGGCAGTGCTGACCACCTGCCAGAGTGGGACAGAGTTATTTTCCTCCCCTCTCCTTGGAGTCTGGCAGAGATAGAAGCAGTTTCCCTGTGTAGCCCTCAGCTTTATTAGGTTTGCTAGCTGCAGCTGAGTCTAGTGAGAGGACACAAAGTGCAACTGACAGCAGTATGAGGACTGAGAAGCAACTCCTTCAGCATAGACTGAGCACTTCAGAGGATCATAGAATCATAGATTCCTAGTGCTGGCAGAGACCTCAGAAGGTCATCAAGTCCAGCCCCCTGCCCAAAGCAAGATCAACCCCAACTAGGACCAATCCTTAATCAGGATGTGACCCATCCATTTGGAATGCAGTTATGATGCATTGCTAGAGTCATGTGGGTGATTTCAGGATTGAATAAAAAGGGGATGGTTCCCTTATGCTAGGGAAGTGGGATTTCTTGAGGAGAAGGCTGAGATACATGGATAGGCTGCAGGTTAATAGTCCTAGCCATTAGACACCAATTTATAGTTCTGTTACATACCTTTAAAGGAGGCTGTTTGGACCACGTAGCTCTGGTTGTCCCCAGGAGAGGAGGGAGTGCGGAAGGACCAGGTGAAGAGATGTAGTGAGACTGTGACAAATGGACAGCCCTTGTAGAAAGCATATAAACTCAGAACTCACGGAAAGAGGATGGCAGGGAGAAAGGGGTGTCTGAGCCAAACCCAGCAAGGCTGCAGAGGGGTGGGTGGAGAGGATTTTTTGACCATGCTCTTTATGTCCCTGTAGGTGCTCATCTCGGTGGGGCCACATTGACCATGCTCAGAAGTTTCTGTCTTCAGCTCATGTCCTTGGTTTGGATCCTCTTGGCCCATCATCATCTTGCCCAAGGTGAGGCTCTGTAGAAATGTGTTTTTCCTCCTGTGTCCATCCTTCTGAGCCCACCAGGGCGCTGCTGAAGTCTCATTACATCCCTGCTGTCCAAAGAAAAGGAAGCGGATCTGATGGACGAGAGCAAAGGTCCTGCTTAGCCAGTAGGCATATTGTGCATGACTGGCTGCCATCAGACGGGCTCCCCGCTCTGCTTTCCCAGTGTGTCGTACCAGCGCAGCACTAGGCAATGCCCAAGGGGATAGAACGCAGGACTCCCTTGGGCTGTATACAAAGCTCACTCCCTTTCTGTAAGAAAGCCTGGATTATCACTATTATCGCTGAGACAAGTTGTCTTTGCTGGGCAGTTCCAAGAGGCAAGGAAAGGCAGGGAGAGTGCAACAGGCCAGCTTGGATCCTGAATATGCCCCAGTTAAGTGGCCACAAAGCACCTGGCTGCGTGCTTATAGGTGTGCAACGAGACAGTACTCAGCCACAGGCTGACCTGGCCCCGCATGCTGCTCCAGATTAGCCAGGGCACATTATGGGAGTTTCTAGTTCTGATCTGGGCCATAGGACATCTGCCTCCCACTTACAGTGAAGGCCATTAAGGATGCTGTGAGGAGAACACACCATCCCCTCTGATTTCTCATGTTCTACGTGGTATAGCTTAGAGAGTCTCTTTTGCTGGCAGCCTGACATAAGCTCTGCTGATGGGACTCTAGACCCTATACCGGGCCGTAGAGATGGACTCCATCGCTGTGCAGTCCTCCATCTCCAAGACAGGGGCTGACATTTGCTTCTGCTCTCCTATTCCTACCACATGCAGGTCTCCCTTCCTGCTCTGGTCTGTCTGCCTCTACCCCATGTTTCAGGTGTGCAGTGACACCTGCTGGACAAGGGGCAGGTTGAGAAGCTGCTTTCTTAATACCCATGGCGCTGGAAGCTGAAGACTAACCATGATTGGGAGTGGCGCTCCCCCAGCCTGTCCCAGACCCCCCACATGCGGGACTGAGAGCTCTGAATTTGGCCTAATGGCCACTCCTGAGCCCTGCAAAGCCAGTTTGTCTCAGTGATAATCAGTGAACGGGAAGGAAAGAAAAGGTTACCAGAGAGAGAGGGAGTCAGAGAGCAACGAACAGGAAGGAAGAGGGCAGGAGATGAGAGGAGACACTCGATGAGGAGCAGCAGGGCCAGACCGTGGCTCAGTTACAGCCGTTGGGACCTTTAAATAAATAAACAGAACTCAACACCCGTCAGGTTATAATGCCCCCCTCTTGCCTTCTCTGCAACAAAGAGTGAGATTGTTGCTCACAGCCTGGCCATGGCAGAGCCTCGCAGCCTTCCTGAGTAGCACTCTGAAAGCATCTGCAGCCCTACGGGGGGAGGCATTGCTGGGGACTGAGATGGTGCCAGTCCAGCTTCACTCACCTCACATCCCAGGGCAATGCGGCTTTTCCCAAAGGACACAGAAATTTAGACTCGTTAGAATAGAAAACATTCTAATGGGCCTTAAAACCCCTCAGATTACTGTTCAGAAGCTAGTCCCAGACTTCCCTCTCCCTTCATTTATTATGTTATAGGAGTACCAGTCAGGACTGGGGCCTCTTGGCCTGGGTGCTGTAAACCCACAAGTAATGCACATTCCCTCCCAGAAGAGCCGTAGGAAAGTGCCATAGATAAGGTGACCTAATATAGGCCCTTGACATGAGCAGACCTGGAACCTGGGGCTTTCATGCACGGGTGTATGTTAGCAAGGGCTTGCTTTTCTCACCTCCTTGTGCACTAACTGCCTTTCTCTGACCTGTACTGCAGGTGATGACTGCAGTGAGCACTGTAACCTGGCCCACGGCTCCTGTGACCAGGACGGCAAGTGCAGGTACAGTGTTTGGTGGGGAACAGTAAACGTTCTTAGGACAGCAGCTCTCTTGCATCACAGCTTATTTCTGGAGGATAGCTAAACCCTTTCCTAGGCCAAGGGATGCAGAAGGGCTCGTTCTACTCCTCAGTTCACCCAAATCTCAGTCCCCAGGCTCCAAGAGTCACATACTCCGACAGCTGCTTGGACAGACCATGCTGTTGGTGGGAAAGTGTGGGTCCCTCTGTCCGTTGTTGTGGGCTTTGCTTCAGTGCGTTTAGATCCCACCTGAAGACAACTAACTTGCAGAGTTCTGCAGAGGCAAAGTGGCCCCTATAATCTCAACAGCAGTCTGAGAGGCAGCACAGCAATTTGTGAGAGGATCCTCAGGGCTCCTCAAGGCTTAGCTATATGGTGGTGGATAGCCACCCCAGCAGCAGCAGCAGCAGCAAAAGGTTAACGGTAAGCAGCTAAAATTAGACTGTGAGCTCTTTGGGGGCAGGGACTGTCTTCCTGCATCTGTGCAACATGGGCACTTGCAGAAAACATAATATACACAATAGCTTTGATGCCCACAACAGAAAGAGCAGCACTGGCTTGAATATTGGCAGAGGGTACAGTTGTAACAGTAGCTGTACTCTGTCTGTGCTACTTGTTGCAGCTGGGACTGGGGGATGGCATCTAAGATGGTGACGTGGCTGCTTTGGGATGCGAGAGGAGGCAAGATCAAGACAAGGGTGCTGTGCTAGTCAGGTTGTGAACCTTGCTGCGAGTTGTTGTGGTGGACATAGAGGTGGTAGCTCTTGCCTCCATTTTCAGGTCTCCACTTGTTCTTTGAATCCTTCTGCAGCTTGGTAGCCCTTTCTTGCTACCCTCTGATCCTCAGAGAGTCTGGCTAGCCTATGCTGCTTTGCCAGCTTTCATTGCCCACATGCTCCTTCAGCCTCCTACAGAAGCGGAGAAGCTGAAAACTCAGCAGGGATCTTTCGGAATTGTAGGCACTGCATTGAGTTGGTGAGGTTTAATACTGTGGTACGTTTAGTGTCCAATTCTTATTTCTTCCAGCTACAGCTACACTGCCCTCTCTTGCGCAAGAAAATATGCAAATGAGGTGAAGTGGTGAATATCACGCCTCATTTGCAAACTTAATGAGCTGCCATTTTTGCACAAGGGGCTTTTGCGCAAAAAGGAGCCATCTACGCTGCTCCTTCTTGCACAAAACCCCCCTCTTGCACAAGAGCAGTTCTTCCTGAAAAATAGCAGCAGAACGGCTCTTGTGCAAGAGGGGGGTTTTGCGCAAAATGATGGCTCATTAAGTATTCAAATGAGGCACGGCGATATTCATGGCTTTGCCTCATTTGCATATTTTCTTGTGCAAAAGAGGGAAGAGTAGCTGTAGCCCCCGTTCTGTGACCTCAGCTCAGTTTTGCTTTCTTCCAGGGGATCTATTTCTTGGACACCTAATCTCCCATGGGAGAGGCAGGCACTGTCCAATAAGGGAACACTTACAATCAGTGCCCCCCCTCATCCTTTGAGATCCAGAATGCTACTGTGTACTGCTGTGACTGGTTTCTCCATCACACTCTTATGGGAAGCTTGTGGAATAAGTTGATACAACACAGGGACCCCATCGGGGGTACTGCGCATTGTTTCACATCTGGATTATTGTACAGGTTCTTGAGTTCCACAGTTCAGGAAGTGTAATGGGGTGTCCATCCCACATGTGCTGATCAAGGATTCATATGGGCCTGAAGGACCAATTAACTTGCCTGCTCATACCTGGAGAGGCAGCCAGGCCTAATTAGAGATAAAGCCCAACTGGGGGAAGAAAAGGGCTTGTTTCTACAAAGAGCTGGGTGAGCCCAGTTAAGGTACAGTATCCTGGAAAAACTCTGCCGCATCCAAGGAATGCATCTGCTCTTCTGAAATATTTTTGGAAGAGCAGACGTGTTTTTTCGGCATCCCTGTAAACCTCATTTTATGAGGAAGAAGGGATGTTCCAAAAAAGGGTTTTTTTCCCGACATTTGGCCCAGTGTAGACGGTTCGTAATTTGCATATCTTTTCTGGAAGAACTGTGTAGTCTAGGCACAGCTTTAGTGAGGAGAGACCCAGAGGAGAGGAGAGGAGAGGAGAGGAGAATGTTTCCTCTATAGGAAGCAGCCTGATAGGAGGCTGAGAAGTGGGGCAGGCCAGCTAGCTACTGCAGGAGTGAGCTGGAAGCCGGACTGGAGACAGGGACCCTGAGGAGTTATAGCTTGCCTGAACCTCTGAGGGGCTGGGGGAAGAATGTGTTACCTCCTGGACAGTGGGTTATTTAAGACATGGGAGCCGGAGATAAGGTATGAGAACAATCTGTAGGAGATGATGCACACTTGTGAGGAAGAGGAGGCCATCTGAAGGTTTGGTTTTGTTGATATTTCTTTTGTCCACTGAGGTGAGGGCAGGAGTTTGCAAATTGGTCTGGCTGGGGGCAAGGATAATCTTATGGCTAAGGTAGGCCAGAGGACAGTAGGGGAAACTGAGGCAAGGGTTGTTTAGCACAGGAGCCAGCCTGGAGGGGGCGTGTTGTGTTAAGATGGCACTTTGTTGCAGGAAGGAAATGGACAAATTATACTCGTAAAAGACGGCAATAAAATGCATAAAGCTGTGAAGCCGTTGGAGGAATTCTGCTTTCCTGATGGTGCCTGCCACCTGCCCTTTAACTTGGCTGGAAAGATACAGGCGTTTTCTTTCTGTCTAATTTGATACTTGGATACAGAGCAGATTACTGAGAGGAGGATAATGTGGACTTGCAATTAAAATCAAGGCTGCTGGCCATATGTCTGGGGTTCTGTTACCAGCTCTGCCTCTGCCATCCTGTGTAGCCTTGTAGGGTAAATCCCTTTTCTTCTCTGCCTCAGTTCCTACATTTGTAAAGTTTGGATAATACTTACCTTCACCCTTTGGGAGGATTAAGGCATTAAGTGTTGGAAAAGGCCTTTAACAATGAAGAGTGCAAAGCGAGTGCTGCTATTCCAGCTTTTATGGGAGAAAATAAACACAGTAGCAGTGTTTGTCGTATAAGCACAAAAAGCCACTACAGCCATGTTACCAGCCCAGATGTACATTTGCACAGTAGTTGCGAGTGTGATTGCAACCGAGCAGACCTAGCAAAGCTAGTTTTAATCTTGCTAGCTTGAGTCCTGGAGCAGTCATTCTGTGGCACCACCTGCTAGCTACAGAGGAATTACCCAAGGTTCCACGAAAGCTTCTACAACTAGTACTTCCCAGCTTCACTGCTGCTGGTACCAAGCTAGCTGCAATAAAGCTTGCTTGGGTACATCTACCAGCTGCCATTACACCTCATGATCATAGTGTAGACATGTCCAGGATTTGTCATTTCTGCTTCTTCGTCGGCCTTGATGGTCTTTCAGAAGAAACAATTTTCTGCCTCGGGAGAGCGCTTTGAGAGCGGATTTTCCAAGCCTCCCTCCCCCCCCCCCACTTCTAGCAAGTGCAGGATGTTGTGTGAAAACAGAATTGTGTGAGCCATTATATAACTAAGTTCTTGCCTGTATTGTGCTGCTGTTGGGGAAGACTGCTGTGCTCAGACTGACCTCTTGCAGGTGTGACCCAGGCTGGGAAGGAGAATATTGCGAGCAGTGTGTGCGGATGCCGAGCTGTCTCCATGGTACATGCCATCAGCCGTGGCAATGCATCTGTCACAATGGCTGGGCTGGCAAGTTCTGTGACAAAGGTAAGTTCCACCAGCTGGACAGGAATCAGCTTGCTTCAGCAACAGGCAACTTGTTTACAAGAAAGAACTCCAGATGGGGAAAATGTGGTGTGGGGAGAGTCCAACTGCCTTGCAGAGCGGAGGAGGGGAATGTGGAGGGCACAGGGATTAGAAGCACCAGGTGTCAATCCAGCTGCCTGAGTGTATCCCCATGAAATTGTACTTTTTACTCTTTTATGGGTAGGGCCGAAGCCCAGCACACATCCCCTAAAGGGAAGGATGATGCAGCTGTTTAGGTGACCAGTTGTTTCTCATGTGACACGTGTGCTGGAGTCTTATCTTTCCATCAGAGATTTGGCCCCTCTCTTTTCCTTTCTACAGAAAGTGGTTAGGCGGCTGGACTCTGATCCCTGTTTGCAGGGCCAGTGATGCTGTGACATTAACAGTATTCACTGGCTTTCTCTCACGGTTGGGACTGCTGACAGTTGTTTCCTATTTCCAGCTGCACTTCCTGCATTTGGAAGCCAGCTGGGTGGGATCCACTCAGTCAGTTTCAAATGGGAGTGAGTGAGGAAGCAGCTTCATGGCAGCGTAGCTAATCTGTCCTCCAGCCAGAGATCTTCGGGCTCTGCTCTTCAGGTTGGAGAGAGTACAGACTAGGGATGTCTATGTGTAGACGACTACACGACTGACTGATACGCATGAGTTTATTGGTTAATCCTGTCATCTACATGCATTTCCCCTCCCCTTTGCTGCCTCTATGTCAGAGGCAGCAAGGCGGGAGAGGCGGGAGTTGATGTCCATGGGGAGTTGGCTTTTAAGCCGGCTCCCCACAAGCACCAGATCCACCTGGTCTCCGCCTCTCATGGAGGCAACAGCACAGAAGGTAAAGGGGCAGGCAGGTGCCGAGACGTGTGGGAAGCTGGCTTTTAAACAGCTCTCTCTGCATGCAGGCTCCATGGACCCACCTGCCTTGCTGCCTCCTACAGCCTGGGCCTGCCACGGACAGAGGCTGTTCAGCATCAGCAGCCCCTGTCCGTGGGGAGTTTAGACCCTCTGCAGTCAGGGGCTGCTGCCACTCTGCGCTGCTGTATCAGAGGCAGTAGAGCAGAGCAGCAGGCAGGAGCTAGTCTATGCAGGAAGCTGGTTTTTAAACTGGATTCCCTTGTGGACCAGCTCCCACTTGCCATCCTGTGCTGCTGCCTCTGATAAGAGAGACAGCAGTGCAGGGTAGCAGGAGGCTCGGAGAGCACCGGCTACCGGCCCCACCCCTGGGGACTATCGAATAGTCATGTACCATTTGATGCGGTTACATGACTATTCTATTTCACGCTATATAACATGCTTAGTACAGGCTACAGCATACAGTAATTCCACAGCGCTCAGAGGCAGAGCAGCAAAGGTTTCCCCCACTACAGAACAATGCAAACATGCACTGAGAGCTTCAGCTGAAGAGTCCTAGGCTATGTCTACACTGGCAGCTTCTTGTGCAAGAACAGCTGTTTTTGCACAAAAACTTGCCTGCTGTCTACACTGCATGTGCATTCTTGCGCAAGTAAATTTACAGTATAGCGTTGTAAAACAGGGCTTCTTCCGGATGAGTTATTCCTCTCCCCACGAGGAATAAGCCCTCTTGTGCAAGCTCTCCCATGACAGGCAACATGAATTTCTTGCGCAAGAAGCCCCTATGGTTAAAATGGCCATCAGAGCTTTCTTGCGGAAGAGAGCGTCCACACTGCCATGGATGCTCTTGTGCAAAAGCACGTGACAGTGTGGATGTGCTCTTGTGGAAGATTTTTTGCACAAGAATTCTTCTGCAAAAGAGTTCTTGCGCAAGAAGCCACCAGTGTAGACATAGTTCTAGAATTTAATACCAGTCGGGACAACCAGCTCATCTTGATGATCTGACCCCTCTGTGCCACAAGCCACTAAACACTACTCAGCTGCCCTGACTTCAAGCCCAACCACCAGAATTAGACCAAAATTTTGCAGCCCTCAGAAAGCTAAACTAGCGTGTGCCACAAGTGGAGAACAGGAGGGCCAGAGAGGTCAGCCCCTACAATGGCAGACAGGCCCACTGATGGAAGGGGTGAGGGAGGCAAAGGAGGCAACTGCCCAGGGGCCCAGTGATTCAAAAGGGCCTAGGGTTCCCAGACGCTGCTGCAGTTGGAGTGCCATTCGGTACGCTCCACTGGCTCTGAGGGCTGGCTGCCCCTTCCACCTGAGGCCCTGCTCCTTCCAGGAGCACAGAGCAACCTCGCCCCACCTTGCCCAGGGGCCAAGCAATTCCGTAAGCTCCCCTGATGGCAGGGAATTGATTGTGTTGTACCCTGAGGCGCTCTGTGTAAAAGCTAGGCTGCAAAGGCTGGGAGAAGCTGCAGATCGTGCTTCATTTCCTCCCTTTGGGGTGGATTTGACAGTTCTTGTTGGCATCAGCTCAGCTCACCAAATGCCTCCTGTTTCTCTCTCCTCAGATGTACACATTTGCGAACACAACCCCCCCTGCCAGAATGGGGCTGGATGCGTCTACGATGGGGACGGGGAGTATTCCTGCCTGTGTTCTGAGGGCTTTCATGGAAAGGACTGTGAGCGGAAGACAGGGCCATGTGAAAAGGCAGGGTGAGAGCAGCCGGGCAGGCAGAGATTACATAAGGCATTAGCTACAGCTTCTACTCTACCAATCAATGGCCAAACTTGGATCATTAGCTGTGGATTTCCATATGTCTATGGCATTGAGCCAAAACCTTCCTAATCTTTAGGCAAGCTTTGGTTTAGCTCAGTGGTCCCCAACCTTTAGAGGCTCCCAGGCGCCCGGGAGGTGGGGGCCATTCACGCGCCGGGCGCCCGGGAGGTGGGGGCCACTCACGCACCGGGCGCCCGGGGGCGGGGTCGCACGTCCGGGGGCATGCCAGGGGACCCTTTTGCGCAAGATCCTGTAAACCTCATTTATTGAGGAATAAGGGATCTTGCACAAAAGGTTCTTTTTCTGAAAAATGGCCCCATCTACACTGTGGGTTTTTTTTCCGCAAAAACCTCTTCCGCAAAAAGGATTGGCAGAGACTATGCAAATGAGTGCAAGATTTGCAAATGAGCACTTCATTTGCATTTCCTCTTCTGCAAAAACCAAACAGTGTAGACGGAGCCAATGACACTGCCTCGGCTTTGCCCTCAGGGAAACTTACTGGGAGCCAACCTTTCCCTTTGTAAAGTTTGGCTTTAGGATTTCCCTGGTGTGGGATTGGCCAGTACCTTGGCCACACTCTGTAGAAGGGTGGGAGGGGCCTGTGCTCCAGGTGTATCTATGTATGTCCATCCAGGCATCATGGAGGCTTTTCTCTCCTCTGTGTAGGAGGGACCCAAACATCTGTCCTTTACTCTCACCTGCTTGAGGGTGCAATTCCCCCTCGTGCAGAAAGCAAGCACATGGCCTGAGCACCACTTGAGCCCATGTGTATGTGTCACCCTGAGACCGCATGCCAACCTGGGGCCAGAGCTACGTCCTGTCCAGGCCTGTGATCTGTCCCTGCTCTCTGCCTGCAGGTTTCCGTGCAGGAATGGTGGGCAGTGCCAGGACGAGAACGGCTTTGCTAAGAACTTCACCTGCAGGTGCCTGGCTGGCTTTGTCGGTGCCCTCTGTGAGGAGGATGTAGATGATTGCCTGATGCGCCCCTGTGCCAATGGTGCCATCTGCCAGGACGGTATCAACCGCTTTTCCTGCCAGTGCCAGGTGGGCTTTGAGGGGCGTTTTTGCACCATCAACATCAACGACTGTGCCAGCCACCCGTGCAAAAATGGGGCAAAGTGTTACGATCGCATCAATGATTTTGACTGCGTGTGTCCTGAGGGTTTTACTGGCAAAACGTGTGAGGCCTCTGCTCCGGAACCGACCTGGGTCCCCTTCTACCTTTCTGCTAACAAGGAGAACAATGATGCTCTGAAAAGCACAACCAGCGAGTATCTCTGGGTTACGCAGCCCGAGCCAGTCAGGACTGTGGTTACTGGAAAGCGGGTTGCCAACCACAGTGAGAAAGCCAGTGGGGGAGGGCTGTTGAAAATTTCTGTGAAAGAGGTGGTGACCCAGCGGGACACAGGGTTGAGTGAGTCCCAGCTGGTGACCGTGCTGGTCTTTGGGACACTCACAGCCGCACTGGTCCTGGTGACCATACTGTTAATGCTGCGGAACTGGCAGAGAGGGCGTCGGAGGTCAAACTGGTGCCAAAGCCCCTCACAGGCTGCAAGGAAGCTCCAGGAACAAGAATGTCAAATGGGCATGTTAAATACAGTCATGGTAGAGCCCAGGAAGACAACAGAGCTGTGAGGACTCTGGCACTCTGAGTGGGGTCCTGGCAGGCAGTCATGCCAATGAACCCTTTAAACTGTGCCCCGGGAGCCATGCTGGTTGAGTATCTCCAAAGTACTAATGGTCTTTGGTGCAACCTAGCCTGTGATTCAGTGGGGTGGGGGTTTCCACAGGGCAGCAAATCTGTATTTGAAGACACAGCTCTCAAACAGGGCGTGACCAATCTGTTCTGGATCCAATCCATCTTCATCAACCAGGTGTACCTAGGAGTCCAAAGCAAGGGCTGAGTCAGACCAGCCCACTCCTGGAAGCGACAGCACATGGATTTCATCAGCTAGCGCCAGAAGACATTGGTACCAACTTATACTAACCCAGGCTAGACATGAGACTGATGGTGCCAGAGCAGGAGAGAGGCATGATCCTCTGTGAAACAAACTCTGCCAGGCTCCTGGATGCTGAGTAATTCCTAGTGCTGGCCACTGTTGCCAGCTTTGGCCTATTGTTCACACTGGGGCTAGGGCTTCTGGAGCTGTTGTGGCCCTTCTGTAACACTGTGGGCTTCTCAGCTCTTCGGTGGCCATAGTATGCCCATTTCAAACTGCACAGGCCCAAGAACTGAGCAGACAGACTCCCTCCATAGCCTTGTGGTGCTGTGAGCTGGTTAGGAGTGACTCCAGAGGTGGCATGAGAGCCCATCTTGCCCTTTTCTGTCTGATACCATGTCCCTTCTTCTTGGATTGGGGATTGTAAGAATATTTTGTACCTTGCTGATAATGATCCCTGGGTCTCTTTTCTCTTAACCAAAGAGTCTGGGCTGGTTTGTGTGTGTTCTAATAGTAATTCAAAAAGCTCTTTCCCAACCATAGCACATGCTTCCGCTTTCCCGCTCGCTAAGGGGGAGAGCCAGAGGCAGCTCCCCAATGTGTGGAGGAGGATGGGACTGGCCTATACCATGTGTCCCTGTAGGAGGAATTGAATATGGAGGAGGCTGGAAGTGAGCTCTGGTTGGTTCAGTAGTAGTCCATGTCCCAGTTCAACTGTCTTCCCCAGTAACCCCAGGCACAGAGCTGGGAGTAGCCGATCACCAGCCCTGATAGCGCTTTGAAATACAAAGTGCAGGCAAGGCTCTCTCTGGGGGATGCAGGGGCAGATTAAACTTTTGGATCGCCCTCCGGGAACAGAAAGGTGGCCCTGCCTGCCCAGCAGCCATTGTGCACCTTGCAGTCGGAAGCACACCTGATCCCTACAACAAGGGAATGGGACAGAAGAGGGAATGGGACATTTAATCATGAATCTAGGTCCTCTCCTGTCGGGTACAATCTCATCACCTTTGACCCTGCATAAGGCTAGACACAGCGCCACAAACAAGGTGGTGAGAGTTTCCCTGTTTCTCCCCACTGCCCTGCAACCTTATGTTAGATTCAGGCAGGGTCCACAGAGGCCGCTCCCCAGGCAGGCTAAAGGAGCTAGAGCCCGAGGTGGAAGGGAGGGCTCCGGCCTGGGTATGAGGCAGAACAGACAAAAGGGTTGGAGGGAGAGAGGATTAGGGTTTCACCAGCAAGATTTTTTTTTTTAAATACACCGATGGATGATGTACCTTTATCAAATAAAATACTAGAACCAGCTCAGCGGCTAAATGAGCCCTTTGCTGGTGGTGGTCTCCCTGCTGCTCTCGGTCAAGTCCACCCTCGAGCTCTGCTGGAGGAGCTGCTCTGCAATCCCTGATCCTTGTGCTGCACCCCAGAGAGACCCTCTCAACCATGGGGCCTATTAGGACTAAGAAGTCCCCATCACCCCAAGACAGAAAGACACAACACAATGGGCAGAGGAACCAGGGCACCCCGCAGGGATGCAGCTAGATCCTGCAGCCTCAGGTGCAGGGAAGTGGCATCTGTATCTCAGGACAGCCTGGAAAAAGGGTTGCTTTTGCTATGGGTATCCTCAGAGTGCTGGAGAGGGGCTGGACTGTGCAGTGATGGCAGGCTCCCCAAGCCACAATCTAGGAGGGAGTGAGATGGGTTATGAACCTGTTTAGCCTGGCTACTGGCAGCGGGGGGATGGGAGAGGGAACCTGGAAGTAATTTGGGCAACATTTGCTCAAACACCCATCCATGGGGAGGTTCAGCTTATACAGGCCAATCTGACTGTGTGGGAAACATGGATTCAAAGCCTAGATCTGCTGCCCCCTCATTCCCTGTCCACATCCTCAGGTTGGCAGTCTCTACCCTGCCATGTGAGACCCCCAGGCTCGAGTCTTCAATACAGGTCCTCTATAGTCATGCTAGAATCAGAGCTGTGCTGAGAAGAGTTCTCTAGCATCCTGCCCCAAGAGGCTATGGAGCTGGGGATGAGAGCTATGACATCTCATTTGGAACAGTGCTCCCTAGATTAACTTTGGACTTTTAAACACCTGAAGGGTGTGGTGTCCCCTTGCAGCCATGATGAACACGACATGCAACACTGACACTATCTCTGAGCACTAGCATACCTCTACATATTAATGATGCCAATGCCTACTAATCGGTCCAGTGAGGCTGTAGCATAAGGAAACCAGAGCTCATGGGAGGAGGTATCTGCAGCCTGTGCTGGGCTCACAACATGCATAAGGGCTTACTTCAGCAGATGTAGGGAGAGAGGAACCATGGCTCCTAGCCCCTGCCTGTCACTGGGGTCAGTATGGAGAGTCACTGGGCTGCCTTGAGGAGACTGTCTCTGAAAACAGCGTGTGTGAGAGGGAATCTTCTGTCTGGGAGGGAGCCTGTGAGCAGGCCTGGTTCTGGAGAAAGGGGAGCAGTAACAACAAGCAGCTTAAGAAAAACATTTGCCCTTTATTGTAGAATCACGTGTCTTTGACTAGGAGCCACCGATTTACCTGACAGTAGAGACTAAACCCTCATTACACCAAAGGGGGTGCTGCCACAAGCTAGAAACATGTTTCCCCATCTTAGGACTCTTGATGCAGACTAGTAAGTCTTGGTCTCGCTCCATCATTGCTCAGGAAACAGCGCCTCATCCTCCTATGACTTCCCACTTGAAATATGGTCCACTCTGAGCAGAATTCTGAGCCAAGAGCCAGTGTCACCCTCTGCTGTCCTTTGTGCAGGCTACTGCATCCCATATGGCAGCTCTAGGCCTGGCAGGAAGTGGGTGCCTGCACTCACCAGCCTGTGAGGTCCAGCACATAAGAGATTTGCAGATGTGCAGCGAGGAGGTGCTGGTTACTGGTTGCTTTCTCTGCACAGGGAAGTCATTGCTGCCCACTGGTCAAGAGTCGCTGAAACAAGGAATCTTCCCTCTTGCTAAGGGCAGCAGGTGAATCCAGCTCTGCCACCTTCCCTGCATGCATCACTAGCACACGGTCCGAATCCAGGATGGTATTCAGCCTGGTAAGAGCAAATATAACCACAGACATAAGGGGCAGGAGTGCCATAGTCTGTGCAGAGAGACATACCAAATCAATTCAGCAGCACAGACGCCTGGGACACCCCCACTCACAAGCACACATTTCTACAGAGCCCCTCATAGCAGTTGCTGGGGTAGCACTTACATACAGGGATCACTCCTTCAGTGCTGAAATGCAGCCATCTCTGGGGACGAATCTGGGAGCTGTTTAACAGGAACACTACACAACAACTTTTAAAACAGGGCAAGAGCGCAGTAAGATAGCATTTCCAGGTGACAGCAGGGAGGCTGGGAATCAGAGCTCCTGGGGCACCTGCTGGCTTTTCCACTAACTGGCTATGTGAACTTGGGTGAGTCACTTCTCCAGCTTGAGCCTCAGTTTCCCTATCTGTAAAATTGGACTAGTAATACTCACTTCTCAGGGTGTGAGAAGCCTACATTCATTCCTGTCTAAAGCACACAGATACAGTGGGAGGATATAGTATTATTAATGGGTACGGCTTGAACCTCTCTAGTCCAGAACCCTCAGGACTTGACCAGTGCCAAAACAGAAAATTTGCTGAGCCATGGAAGGTCAGCATTGTCTAGCAGCATTACCAACATTTCCACTGCTTACTGAGCTCTGAGAAGGCATTTAGGGGTAAATTAAAGGTAAATAAAGCACAGAAGACTGAGAGCCAGGACTGGTGGCTGTAAACAAACTTCATGGGACTATGAGAAACTTGGCCAGAGCCCTGATAACTGGACAGCCAGCTAACTAAAATTATGCCACACCATGGATATTGCTGGACTAAAGAAGTTCAACTTGTATAATATTAAACTGCATGGAGCTGTGTGATGTTACAGGAATGCAACTGGATCAGAACAGACATTAATGCCCCAACCACTACGGAAAGTAACGGTGGATTTTTATATGGGCCCCCGGTGGTCATGATCTCAGTTTTACATCTCCTGCAAAAGACAGCACCTCCCATAACCGTTGGGGCCAGGCTAGGGTATAAGCATCAATTCTGACTGGGAGAGAAAAGTACCAACTACTCTTGCATCTCCTGGATTTCCCTAAAGGTCTCCCATCCAAGCAATGACTTAGCCATATTGGATCAGATCCATCTAACAAAAAATTCCAAAACCCATCTATCTCAAAAGTGCTTCAGAGTGAATGACCAGAACAGGGCAAATATCAAGTGATCCATCCTGTTGTCCACTCCCAACTCCGGGCAGTCAGAGGCTTGGGACAGACAGAACATGGGGATGTAACTCTGACCATTCTGTCTAATAACCATTGATGGATCTATCATCACTGAACTTACCTAATTTTTTTTTGACCCCAGTTATAATTTTGGCCTTCACAACATCCCCAGGCAAGGAGTTCCACAAGCTGACTGTATGTTGTGTAAAGTAGTACTTCCTGTGGATTGTTTTAAACTAGGGATGTTACATTTCGAATAATCAAATCAAGTAGTCGATGGAATTTCCATCGACTACTCGGTTATTCGATAAGGGGGGGTGCTTGCTATCTCACTGCGCCTCTCTCTTTGAAATGTACAAGAACTGCGGGCTCTCTCTTCAAAGGGAAAGGCGCAGCAGCAGGGACGCCTCTGCCTCCCGTGCCCCCCACGCAGCACCGGCTCCTGCTCCCCACCTTGCTGCCTCTCTCTGATAGAGGCAGCAAGGGGAGGGTGAAGCGACTAATCAAGTGACTACTCAACTATCCCATAAGCTTATACTTATGGGATAGACAACTAGTCGCTTACATCCTTATTTTAAACCTGCTGCCTACTCATTATCTGGATGATGCCTGGTTCTTGTGTTATGTGAAGGCTTAAATAACCCTCTTATTTGCTTTCTCCACACCATTCCTGATTTTATGGACCTCTATCACACCCTCCTTAGCTGTTTCTTTTCCAAACTGAACAGTCCTCCCGACTTTTAATCTCTCTTTAGGTGGGAGCTGCTCAATACCCTTATTATTATCAGAGAGGAAGCTGTGTTAGTCTGTTTCAGCAAAAACAACAAAGTCTGGTGGCACTTTACATTCTAACAAATGCATTAGGGTATTAGAGCATGCACTCATGAAAGCTTATGCTCAAATACCCTAATCAATATCTTAGTTTTTGAAGTACCACTGGACTCCTTGTGGCTTTTAATTACTTTTGTTGCCCTTCTCAGTACCTGTTATAATTCTAATGCATCTTTTTTGAGATATTGTGACCAGATCAGATTAGTCTACAGCCTAAGATGGCTTGGCTGCAAGGTGTTCTTCCTATCCACCAGTCTCTTCTTTCCCTGGGATCTTTTTAACCTAGTGGTAATGGCCCCCCATCTGAAGAGCTACGGCATCCATCTCTGGCCCAGAGATGGCTGTTCAGTTTCATCCTCTGGCTGTCCTGCAGTGCCCTCTACTGGGCAAGACCAGCTCTGTTTCATGTTCAGCACCTCTCAGCTCTCCATGATGGCAGGGAGCTTTGAGTACAATTGTCAGGCTATCAGTTCTCTGCATTCTCAACCCCTTTTCACCTTCTGAAGCTGCAGTACCCCTGTTCTATTTGGTAGGAAAGCAAGTCCCTTTCAGACAGCTTCCAGTGACACACAGAACATGCTGGGTTCCACCTGGCACCTATGAAAGGGAACAGTTTACTTTTGGACAGTATCCAGATGCTCCTGGAGACGAAGTCAGGCGGACTGGGGCCCAGGGACAGATGCTGAAGGGGGATGGTAAATGCCTACTCCTTCCGGAGCAGCAAAAGGAAACAGACAGGTTTGCACTTGAAAAATCCTGTCATGTTGATTTTGTGACTCACCTCACATATGGAGCTAATATCAAAGTGGGGGGCAGTCACATTACTGAGACTGTGGGTGTGGCCACTGGGTGTGGCTGGGGGAAGGTGTGGCATAATGAGTTTAAAAACAGAGGGTTGCCCCTTTCTCTCTCCATAAGGCAAGTAGAAGGCTCTTCGCTGCCCCTGGCAGCCAGTCTCCCAGCCAAGGGCGAAAGACTTGTGCTAGTACTCTAAAAACAGCTGTGCAGATGATGTTTCCCATTGTTTGGGCTGGAGCTCAGGGTCTCAAGACCCCACACTCTGGCTTAAGAACCTGAGCTCTATACCAAGCCGCAGCATCTACACAAGTATTTTGAGAGGGCTAGCCTGAGCCCCTCTAGCACAGATCTGTGGGTGGGGCTGAGAGTAGGAGTGGGGCTGGAGATGTTTCCTGCCTGCCAGAGGCAGGGGGGCTGCTCCAACCCCACATGGTTCATTATAGGCAGGGAGCACTCAGGACCGGCCAGAGCAGCCCCTTCCCACAGCTGGGGTGGAGTACTCCCTCCACCCGTCCAGATTTAAATGATTAACTTAAGGTTTAACTGGTTCCAATTAAACAGGATTTTACATCCCTAGTGGAGAGGCTGCTCCCCAGTGCAGAGGAGACATGCCCTTGGCCTGAGGGGAAGCTGGCCATACCTGTGAGCAATTGTGAGCACAGTCTTGTCAGTAAAACGCTGGCGGATGGTCTGCTGTAGCAGCTGATCGGTCTTCTGATCCACACTGGCTGTAGCCTCATCGATGCACAGCACCTGTCAGTGAAACAGCAACTGAGTGAAGGGTATCTCCATGCCATGGGAAAAGATCTCTGCTCCCAGCCCTGAGATACACCTCAGAGGACAGCATAAATCAGCTCACAGCCCTGAGTCTTAACCACTTGACATTCCATTTCCTCATTAGGGCCTCCAGACACAGATTCCCGGTCCTGCCCTACTACTCCCAGAGTCAGGAACAGGCACCCACTCTCCAAACAAGTAACTGCCCTGCTTTGAGAAGGGAGACTCCAGTGGGAGTTAGAAGCGCTCACCTTGGCCTGGGTCAGGAGGGCTCTTGCAAGACACATGAGCTGCCTCTGTCCCACTGACAGACTCTTTCCTCTCTCCCCCAGCTCACAGTCCAGTCCACCTGCAGGGAGACAAGGATAAGCCCTCACCCAGCAAATCTTTGGTTAGAACCCTGCACAGCTTGCCTATACCAGAAGCTTCCAGGTGGTACTCAAAACTTCATTTCTGCTCAGCCCCAGCCCAAAGCCTGGGGATTTTAGACTCAGAGAAGCAAGATTTGTCACTAACACTATAGGTGTACCCTCTGCTAGGATCATGGAGACAGGTGAGAGAGACTGGGAAGCCCTTATCCTTCCCCCACACTCTAATCCCCTAGGGCCCGGCCTCCTTTAGTCAGATCCTGCCAGAGCCTTGCCCACCACCCTCACCAGATACCTCACGTGCTCATGTCCTTCCACTGGAAGTTACAGGATTCTGCTTGGGCCTCAGATGCCAATCCATTGGATCCCATTGGGATCTCACCCTCCCATGCTAGACCTTGTTGCATTTAGGCCCATAACTATCATCTCCAACTCACTGGCTCTGCCTGCTACCGGAGCTTCCTCATCTCCTACTGGCATTGGACTCACCCATCTGAGCAATCACCTCCTGTAGGTGGCACTGCTCCAGCACCTGGTACAGGTCAGAGTCTGTATGTTGCCCCAGAGGGTCCAAGTTCTCCCGGATTGTCCCACTAAACAGAAATGGGTCCTGGGGGATTATGGCCAGTTTGGATCTGCAGGGAGTGGAGAGATGAAGGTTTAGCAGGTGGGAACAGCATGGAAGCAAAAGGCTTTTCCTTGGAGCCAGTGGTAACAAGGCTGGTCCTGACTCTACTGGGCCGATCTCAGCCACAGGCACTGTAACCAAGGCATCTGAGATGCACAAAGGACCAGGCAGAGCTCTTCTCAGCCTGGAAAGCCTCAGCGTACACAACTGGGGGGAGGGGGAAGGAGGGGAGAGGACTCAGAAATATTTGAGCATCAGATAGGAAACTGCCAGAAGAGGCCAGAACCAACTCCCTCATTATTGCTTTGCTGGCAACCATTAGAACCAAAGTCCTGTGTTTGGTGGAAGGGCTCTTGGCTGAATCCTAAATGCCATTTGCTTCTACCTTTGCTCTGCCCACCTTACCTCAGACTCTCCAGGCCCACCAGCCGGCTGTCAACATTGTCCAGGAGGATGTGTCCCCCTCTCAGCTCCACCATGCGGAAGAGTGCCAAGAAGATGGTGGATTTGCCGGATCCAGTGCGTCCCACAATCCCCACTTTCTCTCCCGGGTATATGGTGAAGGTCACCCCATCCAGAGCATTGGGCAGTCCTGGCCGATATACCAGAACCACCTGCTGGAACTCCACAAGGCCCTGGCTCGGCCAGTCAGGGGCAACCTCAAATGAAGAAGAGGCAGAAATGTGACCAGGATCAACTACCAGGATCTGTCCCATTTGCTTCCTGTCTCTTTGCCTGGCTTCTCAATTCCTGACCATCCCTGTGCACCTAATTGCATCCCAGCCCTGTTCCACCCACCCCTCCTCCCACTGCACATGACCTTGAGGGGGGAGCGAAAGGGGTATTAGGAAAGGCACGGAGCAATTCTTGTAGATTGACTGGCAGTCCTCAGCACCCACTCATTAGATGGCTGTAACCAGTCACCAGTACATCAGGACCCTATGGGATACCTGAGCAGAGGGGAAGAATGCACAGAAAGGAGACCCAGTGCAAAGAACAGATCCATGAGATAGGATGCAAGCCAGGCCTGGAGGGCTGAGTGCAGATCTTACCTGGATCAGTTGCTCCTGGGGCTCTATGGGGATATCGGTGGAGTACTCCTCTGCTCGCTCGACACTCACCATCATGGTCTCTGTCTGCGTGAAACTGGAGATGAGGCTGGACAGCAAGTTTGTGACAGACAGGGCATACGAGAGGGCCAGGCCCACAAGACCTGAGATGATAAGAGATCATGGCAGGCATGTGAAGGAGTGGAGAAAGCAGCTCCAGTCAGGGTGGATTGAGGGGGACAAGGAAGAGGAGGTTACTCACCTATGCAGTAACAGATGCTCTTCGAGAGGAGTGTCCCTGTGGGTGCTCTGCGTTAAGTCAGTGCGCTGCTGCCGAGCCCTTTCTCCAGAGTCTTCATAGTAGGTCCCAGGGGCCATGCATGCACATGCCTTAAGCTGCGCACTCCTACAGTGCAAACATAGCACATGTGGGAGCCCCCTCTCTCCTCACTTCCTTCTCTACCCCTGAAGCATATAGCCCGTCAAGGAGGCCAGCACTCCAAAGTAGAGGGGAGGAAGGGAGGGTTGTGGAGCACCAAGGGGGGCACGCATCTCGAAGAACATCAGCTACTGCACAGGTGAGTAGCCTCCTCTTCTTCATCTTCGAGATATCCCCTCAAGGATAAGCCCTCACCCAGCAAATCTTTGGTTAGAACCCTGCACAGCTTGCCTATACCAGAAGCTTCCAGGTGGTACTCAAAACTTCATTTCTGCTCAGCCCCAGCCCAAAGCCTGGGGATTTTAGACTCAGAGAAGCAAGATTTGTCACTAACACTATAGGTGTACCCTCTGCTAGGATCATGGAGACAGGTGAGAGAGACTGGGAAGCCCTTATCCTTCCCCCACACTCTAATCCCCTAGGGCCCGGCCTCCTTTAGTCAGATCCTGCCAGAGCCTTGCCCACCACCCTCACCAGATACCTCACGTGCTCATGTCCTTCCACTGGAAGTTACAGGATTCTGCTTGGGCCTCAGATGCCAATCCATTGGATCCCATTGGGATCTCACCCTCCCATGCTAGACCTTGTTGCATTTAGGCCCATAACTATCATCTCCAACTCACTGGCTCTGCCTGCTACCGGAGCTTCCTCATCTCCTACTGGCATTGGACTCACCCATCTGAGCAATCACCTCCTGTAGGTGGCACTGCTCCAGCACCTGGTACAGGTCAGAGTCTGTATGTTGCCCCAGAGGGTCCAAGTTCTCCCGGATTGTCCCACTAAACAGAAATGGGTCCTGGGGGATTATGGCCAGTTTGGATCTGCAGGGAGTGGAGAGATGAAGGTTTAGCAGGTGGGAACAGCATGGAAGCAAAAGGCTTTTCCTTGGAGCCAGTGGTAACAAGGCTGGTCCTGACTCTACTGGGCCGATCTCAGCCACAGGCACTGTAACCAAGGCATCTGAGATGCACAAAGGACCAGGCAGAGCTCTTCTCAGCCTGGAAAGCCTCAGCGTACACAACTGGGGGGAGGGGGAAGGAGGGGAGAGGACTCAGAAATATTTGAGCATCAGATAGGAAACTGCCAGAAGAGGCCAGAACCAACTCCCTCATTATTGCTTTGCTGGCAACCATTAGAACCAAAGTCCTGTGTTTGGTGGAAGGGCTCTTGGCTGAATCCTAAATGCCATTTGCTTCTACCTTTGCTCTGCCCACCTTACCTCAGACTCTCCAGGCCCACCAGCCGGCTGTCAACATTGTCCAGGAGGATGTGTCCCCCTCTCAGCTCCACCATGCGGAAGAGTGCCAAGAAGATGGTGGATTTGCCGGATCCAGTGCGTCCCACAATCCCCACTTTCTCTCCCGGGTATATGGTGAAGGTCACCCCATCCAGAGCATTGGGCAGTCCTGGCCGATATACCAGAACCACCTGCTGGAACTCCACAAGGCCCTGGCTCGGCCAGTCAGGGGCAACCTCAAATGAAGAAGAGGCAGAAATGTGACCAGGATCAACTACCAGGATCTGTCCCATTTGCTTCCTGTCTCTTTGCCTGGCTTCTCAATTCCTGACCATCCCTGTGCACCTAATTGCATCCCAGCCCTGTTCCACCCACCCCTCCTCCCACTGCACATGACCTTGAGGGGGGAGCGAAAGGGGTATTAGGAAAGGCACGGAGCAATTCTTGTAGATTGACTGGCAGTCCTCAGCACCCACTCATTAGATGGCTGTAACCAGTCACCAGTACATCAGGACCCTATGGGATACCTGAGCAGAGGGGAAGAATGCACAGAAAGGAGACCCAGTGCAAAGAACAGATCCATGAGATAGGATGCAAGCCAGGCCTGGAGGGCTGAGTGCAGATCTTACCTGGATCAGTTGCTCCTGGGGCTCTATGGGGATATCGGTGGAGTACTCCTCTGCTCGCTCGACACTCACCATCATGGTCTCTGTCTGCGTGAAACTGGAGATGAGGCTGGACAGCAAGTTTGTGACAGACAGGGCATACGAGAGGGCCAGGCCCACAAGACCTGAGATGATAAGAGATCATGGCAGGCATGTGAAGGAGTGGAGAAAGCAGCTCCAGTCAGGGTGGATTGAGGGGGACAAGGAAGAGGAGGTTACTCACCTATGCAGTAACAGATGCTCTTCGAGAGGAGTGTCCCTGTGGGTGCTCTGCGTTAAGTCAGTGCGCTGCTGCCGAGCCCTTTCTCCAGAGTCTTCATAGTAGGTCCCAGGGGCCATGCATGCACATGCCTTAAGCTGCGCACTCCTACAGTGCAAACATAGCACATGTGGGAGCCCCCTCTCTCCTCACTTCCTTCTCTACCCCTGAAGCATATAGCCCGTCAAGGAGGCCAGCACTCCAAAGTAGAGGGGAGGAAGGGAGGGTTGTGGAGCACCAAGGGGGGCACGCATCTCGAAGAACATCAGCTACTGCACAGGTGAGTAGCCTCCTCTTCTTCATCTTCGAGATATCCCCTTGGGTGCTCCACATTAGGTAACTACAAAGCTATATCCATTTAAGGAGGTAGGGACTTCGGAGCTGGCATGAATGCAGTAGATAGGACAGCCTTAGAGAATCTGAGTTAGAGAAAAGTCCCTGAGAAAGTGCTTAATGCTTTGTGAATGTGTGCGCTGATGACCAGGTAGCAGACGTTTAACACAGCCACTATCGGGACCATTCAGAGAAAGGCCACAGAGATAGCCATGGCTCTAGTTGAGTGTGCTCTTATGTTGTAAGCAGGGTTAACATCTGATAAAGAGTAACAAAGTTTTATACGGTCTGAAATTCAGTGAGAGAGTCGCTGGGCTGAGGTGGTTTGGCCTTCATTGTGATTAGCAACAGAAAAACAGCCTAGGAGAGATCCTGAAAGGTCCTGTCAGCAGTAAATAAAAGGAAAGAGCCCTGCATAAATCCAGTGTGTGCGTGACTGATTCAAGCACACTAATGTGCGGTTTGAGGAAGAATGTCGGCAGAGATATAGTCTGATGCAGATGGAAAGAGGTAAAAACTTGGGATGAGTTCATGAGGAGACCTTGTCCTTGAAAAAGGTAGTGTGTGGGGGATCTGCCATCAGTGCTTCGATCTCTCTGACCTGCCTTGCCAAGGTAATAGCTACAAGAAAAGTTGTTTTCATAGAAAGGTGCAAAAGAGAGCATGTAGCCATTGGCTCAACTGGAGATGTGGTGACAGTATTTAAAACCAGGTGGCAGTCCCATGGTTGTGCTGGTGGGACCACATCTGGGTAAAGTCCTTACAAACACTGATAAACGTCTTAGTAAGAATGCGTGCATACATTCAGGTTCATCATGTGAAGATTGGGATGAATGGTCTGATTTCCTGGTTGATAGAGATCATCCTGATTGCGAGGCAGAGGGATCTGAGGTACTCAAGACATTCTGAGCAGAAAGGGAACCCAGGGTGCTATGAGAATTAAGTGTGCTTTGTCGGCCTGCACTTTGACTATGACCCTGTTTATGAGGAGTATTAGGGGAAAGGTGCATAGGAGATGATGTGACCAGTTAATGAGGAAAGCATCTCCAAAGAAACCCTTCCCCATTCTGGCTCTGGAACAGAACTGCAGACACTTCTTGTTGTTTTGTGTGGGAAAGAGGTCTATGGTGGAGTGACCCCATTGTTGGAAAACCCACAAGAGGATATCTGGGTTGATTTGCCACTCATGCAATGCCCTCCTTAGTGCATTGGCCATGGTGTTGAGGTTGCCAGGAAGGTGAATGGCAGTGATAAATATGCAATGATTCAAGTATCAATTCCAAAGTACAACTGCTTCTGTACATAGGGCATGTGATCGGGCTCTGCCCTGACAATTTATATAAAACACTGCAGCAACATTGTCTATGTATAGTCTCACGTGATGCTGATTAAAGGTAGGAAATGCTCACAAGCATATCTTACTGCCTGCAGTTCTCCATTGATGTGGAGACCTGTGTCTTTGTTGGACCACAGTCCCCGAGCCATAGGATGCTGCAAGTGTGCTTCCCAGCCCCTGAAGGATGCATCGGTTGTCAATGAAACGGACGGTTCTATGGTAAGGAACAGGACCCAGAACAGAGATTTGTGGGTGTCAATTACCAGAGAAAAGTTTTCTTCACGGAGGGTGTAACTTTGACAGTGGGTGAATGTTGGGTTTGTAAACTGTCCTGAGCCACCTCTGCTGACATCTCATGTACAAACGTGCATTTCTGACTACAAAGCTGCAACCTGAGAGTTGTAGGCAGTTGTGAGCCGCTGTTCTAGGGGAGAATGACAGCATCCTGATCAGGTCCACAATTCTGTGAAAATCATCCGTAGGAAGAGAAGCGAGAACGGATGTGGAATCTAGCCAAGCACCAATAAACTGAATTCTCTGAGTGGGTATCAGATTTGACTTGCTTTCATTTATCCATAGACCAAGACGTTGGAAGATGTGTCTTGTGATTGAGATGGAGTGATGAGTATCGGAGCGCGCTTTGAGGAGACAGCTGTAGAAATACGATAATGGCTTGTTTCTGCAGATATGCTGTAATGACTGAAAGCACCTTTGAAAAAATTCTTGGAGCTGTAGAAAGGCCAAATGGTAGGACCTTGTATAGTAGTGCTGGGTACCTAAAATGAATCGAAAAAAACTGCCTGTGAGCAGGATGGATGGAAATATGAAAATACGTATCTTGCAAGTCAAGACACGAAAACCAATCACCTCATTCCAACACCAGTATAATGGTGGCGAGTGTTACCATCTTAAACTTGTATTTCTTAACAAATTTGTTCAACGCTCATAGATCAAGAATGGGTCACCATCGTCCCAACTTTTTCTCCATGGGGAAGTAGTGGAAGTAAAACCCTTTCCCCCTTTAATGAGTGAGGACTAACTCAATTGCCTGCACTTGTAAGCAATGGTCAACCTTCTGTTGGAGAAGTTCCTTGTTAGAGATGGTTCCTGAAGAGGGACTGAGTAGGGGATGAGTGGGGGTCTTCATATAAAGGGAATGGCATATCCAATCATGATTATTTGGAGAACCCATTTATCAGATGTTATCCTTCTCCAATTGTTAAAAAACATTAACAGATGATGTTGGAATAGTTTACATGGTATGGTTGGCATTGAAATTGGCAAAACGTTTTCACAACCCTCGACATATTTCTCCAGTTTGCTTAGAGAACTGTTGTGATTGCTGCAAGTTGTTAGATGGTTGACAATGTCATTGGCTCCTGCCTCTATTGCAGGTTTGTTGATGTTGGTCCTGCCAATTATATTGTTGAGTATTTTAGGGGTATCTGCACCCAGGGTACGGATGGGACTTGTATTGCCGCCTTCTTGCTGTTGCAGGATTATGAACGCCAAGAGATCTGAAAGTTGCCCGAGAATCTTTCATAGAATGCAGCACTTCGTTAGTGTTTACCGCAAACAGCTTCTGCCCATCAAATGGAAGATCCACTACCATGGACTGGATTTATCTAGGGAAGGCAGCAACACTGAACCATGAGGCTCTTTGCATCACGACAGCTGTAACGAGGAGTGGGCCACTGTGTCAGCTGCATCTAGAATGGCTTGTAGGGCTGTCCTTGAGATTGTATGGCCCTACACAATCACTGCTTTGAACTGCTGCTTCTTGGCCTCAGCAATGTCTGAAATAAAATCATTTAAATTGGAATAATTCCGATAGTTGTATTTGCTTAGTAGCGCTGCATAATCGTGACTTGGAATTGTAGTGTTGATGACATGTAGACTTTCAATTCAGAGGTCCAGCCTTTTGTTGTCACAGTCAGAGGGGTGGCTATAGAGTGCTGCAGCTTAGTCTTTTAGGTTATATCTACATTATAGGGTGTGGAATTAAGATTACGCAACTTCAGCTACATTAGTTGCGTAGCTGAAGTCACAGTAGCTCAGCTCGCCTTTTGGCGCTGTCCAGACTGCAGGAAGTCGAAGAAAGAACACTCTCTTCCTTTGACTTCCCTTACTCCTTGTGAAAGCAGGGTTACTGGCATCGACCGGAGAGCCTCTCTCACTTTGAATTAGTTGTCTTAACTAAACCGCTAATTCGAACCCTGGAAGATTGACAGCAGCAATTTTGATCTTCCACTGCGGTGTAGATGTATGCTTGGGTGTGCTGCCTCCACCACCAGGGAAGTAGGTGCAGGAGGCACCACCACTTCATCTGGGGAGGACAATTCATTAGTGTCAGGTGAGGTGTCTGGTGAGGGGTCAGACTGGTCCCCTTGTATAGCACGTTGCTGTTGAGGAGACGGAGATTGTAGTGCGGGGGAAGGGAGTGTTGAGGCACAGAAACAGGTTTGCGAGAATAGTGCTGTTTACAGCAAGGCTGCCAAGGACTCCAATACTGGCATTGTGGGTAAGCCATGGGAGGTGGTACCAATAGATTTTTATACCAAGAGGGCATATAATGGTGTCTGAAGGGTGGGGGATGGGTCCTAGCCGAGTAGACAGAATAGAAAGTGAGTTAGGTGAGATCATCACATCCACCTCCTTGTCAGAGTCACTAGAAAACCTTTCCAGCCATGCATCTGGTCTTGGTGCTGAGGTACTGGAAGAAATGTTGGTGCCAAGAAAGAGTGAGTTGAAAGTTGAGGAGACCAAGAGATCTCTATGTTGTGTATATGGCTGCGCTGGCATAGATTATGCCATTTGTTGGCTGCACCAATGCTACTTGCGATGCAGTGTGATATCTTGGCACCGAGCTGCCAGGAGAAATGGTTGGTGCTGGGTCAGTGCCCACACTGGTGCTGGATATTGTGCTTGGCATCAAAGGCAGTTGTGGTGCCAGCAATGAAAAGTCGGTGCTGGTAGTTGCAGCGACACTCGAGGCAGGCAACTCCAAGTCTGTGGCCTCGGAGTGGGGCTTTGCATTTCCCGCTCCCATGGCAGTGCTGGACATGCCCAGTGCGTCATGGTAATCAGACATGGTGCCAGAGACACTCTCGGTACCATGTGCACTGGAGATGAGCGTTTAGGTGCTGGAGGCTCCTGAGGCAATGAGGAGGCGTGTTTCTTTGAAGATGTTTTGTCCTTTCGAGCTCAAGGCTTATCTGATTGTTGACCCAGATCTGAAGCTGGTCTTAGCGATTTTTCAAGTAAAATCAGCTTGAGGTGTAGGTGTCACGCTGCACTCTCTGTCTGTGACTGGAGGCAGTAGAGAAGGAACTGTGGGGCAGAGGGGGGGGCGAGCTTGCGCATGCGCAATGCCTGCGCTGTAGGAGTGTGTGGCCTGAGGTGCACGCATGCACGGCCCCAGGGACGCTGCTCTGAAGAAATGGCTCGGCGGCAGCGCACTGACCTAATATGGAGCACCCACGAGGACATCTCTTTCTCTTGAAGGAGCCAAAGCACCAGGAGAGGAATATAAATTGGCAACCTAGTTCTGGGTGGCGAGACAAAGAGAAGTGATACAGCTTCCGAGGAGATAAGGCTGATTAGCTACCTTTTGGACAGACAGACAGAGCTGCAGCTCTGGGATAGGAAACAGGGTGGCCTGAAACCAAGTGCTTGGGCTCTGTGCTGGATCCTCACTAAGGACTGGCCAGCTGTGCAGGAAGAATGACTGTGGTGAGAAAACTACTTTGAACAAGAGACTCAAATTTGTTAAATTACTTTGTAGTTTTAGAAGCATATTTTGTTTTTAACCATTTCTATCCCAATTCCTTCTACTAGGTATCACTTAAATACTGCAGAGAAGGGTTTGGACCATGAATTAGTGTTAATCTCGCACTCCCTGTCACTACCTGCCCTGGACAAGCTAATGGTCCAACCTGCAGACCCAATTCAGTGATGAATTCAAGTCACACGGCACCCGAGGCATATTGCACGTACAGTAAGGATCTATTCCCTGTTAACAAACCTAATTTGTTTTCATTACAAACCATTTCAGTGCAGTGTTTCCAACTGATGAATAAAATCTTCAGTCAACCTAATAGGCTGGTGCTGTCTCTTTAAAGGAGCAGAGAACTTGATCAAGTTTTGAGAGTACTACACTGAGTAGATCTGAGCACTGCAGAGGAGATGACTGTGGGGAGACCTGGGACTGGAATGTGCCTCTCTGCAAGGAGTTACCAGGCTGGGGAAGCCAGAGGCAACCTAGATCACTGCACTGTGAGCAGGCTGCCGGTATTCTCAGCCAAAACAGCATAGCACAGAAGCATCCAGGGTTACTGGGCAGGCAGTGACACAAACTTTTACTGGTCTGGGTGAACTTCTAAAGTTTTACAGCATACCTGGGTTTCCCAGTTGCCTCTGGTGCTGGATGATGGCGATTCCTGCTATAGCCGTAACCACAGCAACTCCGATCATCTGCAGGCGGATGTCCAGCCACTGCATGGCAGTGTTACTGGCAAAGAGGCAACGCTGGTTCTGCTCCAATCGTAGCTGATTCTCTGCCTCAAATCTGGTCCAGACATAATGCAGTGGTTAGTATCACAATCAGCCCTAGGGCCTACTGCCCTTCATCTGTCACTGGGCCAGAACCTATAGGTCCTTACAAGAGTGAAAGCCCTCACCTCTCTGTGGCCCGGGTGGCTCGGATGGTGCTCAGCCCAGTCAGTGTCTCTGAGAAGTGGGTGTAGATGGGGGACAGGGTGAGGCTGTAGAGGCGCTTGAGCTCACGGGAGGTGCGCCGATAATAGCGCTGGATGGAAAAGTAGAGGGCAGCCAATGGCAACAAAATCAGGCCAATCCAGGGCAGCCCATAGGTTATCATCACCAGCATGCCTAGCAGCCCAAAGACATTGGCCAGAAAAATGTTGAGGATGAAGGGCAAGCTGTCGT